CACCCAGTGCGACCTTTAAAAAGGACGGTGAATACCCTTGTAAGGGTGTTTGCTACGACAACGGGCAGGAAAAGCAAGACTTTTTTTGATTCCCTACCAGTTAGTTTCGGCTTTAAATAGTAATGCAAAACTAAATTGTGAGAAAATGCACGACTCGTTGAACTCGAAAGAAGAAGTGGAGAGAGATGAAGAGAGGAATAAAATGAAGAGAATAGAAGCATAAGAAAAATTACACAAGTTGAAACTATTGTCTTCCCTCTAACTTCTTCTCCCTCTGATCCTCTTCTCCCTTCATCCATTTCCAATAATCAATTAGTAAATACAACAACAAATGAATGAACAAATAGGAATCGATTCTGAGCGTTCCCCCTTAGCAATAGCTCTCAAAGAGCCCCCCTTTCAACCATAACCTCACTTCTCTTCTCTCAGTTGCATCTACTACCATGGCAGTTCATCCATGGTCATCATGGATGTTCAAAGGATAACACAAACACTACTATGCCTCTCCCATCTCATTCTGCCATTGCCACACAAGGGCCTCCTAGATGCAGCACTGACCCACAAAGTGAAGATGAATGTCAGCCGCACCCAAAGGCGAGTCTCTCTTGTCATTTCCTCTCTCTTTCGCCCCTTCTCATCCATCCCCTATACCCTTCTCTCACCCTTCTTCACAGTTTGGCACGATGCGCTTCACCCCCCACCTTTACAGCCTTGGCCTACTCCCTCCTATTCCTACAACTCCACAGCCATGGAGGTCTTCTTCCTCGCCCCCCAGCTCCACCGCTCAGCAGGAGCTCTGCCTACCTTCACCCTCTGGGGGGAGCAGCGGCATGACTGCCGGGTAAGGTGCCACTCCACTTGATGTGCCTGAATAATATACCCTTGCCACTTGGCCTGCGGCCTTCCTCTGGCCGTGGTACTAGTTTCTCTCCGATGAGCTAGGCCTAATGGAGGTTCCAGCCTTTTGGCGGGAACGTCACTGCAGCCTGCAATTCTACTTCAGGGCCTGTATCTATCCTACCAGCTGTTCTAGGTACAGGCCCTGACTACTTAGGACCTTTTTTCGGAGGCTATGGGTTCCTTCTAAGCCTACCGGACATCTGCTGGGCGTACCCGAGTTGCTGGAAAATACCTGCTGGGTACTAGCCAAATTCCACTTATGTCCCTGTCTGCCCTGGCCCTTCTAGAGTCCGTCCGGTATCCAGTTTCAGTCCTGTCCCTGCGGTTTCCCTATTTCTAAACTAATCCTTCTCAGGGCACAGAGAACAGACGCCAAGCACATAGTTAGTGCTCCGCACAGCAATCATCATATCGGGACTTAGACACATGCAAGCAAACCGAAATATCGGCAAATCAAACCAGCAACCAGTAATACGCAGAAAACTGCAGAAATCTCACTAAGAACACCGAAATATCGGCAAATCAAACCAGCAACCAGTAGTACATAGAAAACTGCAGAAATCTCAGACTGATTCTGTGTGGGTCATTGCAAATGCCCTAAAAATAAGGGTGCATGGGTGATGATGAAAGTTTCGGTGGATAAGCCTCAGACAGTGCTTCACTATGAATACTGTGTGGCATGAATCAGGGCAAGAAAAAGGAGAAAAAAAAAAAAAAAACCCTTAAAAAAAAAGGGAAAATGAAAACAATCACCTGCAACGTAGTGCGACGGATGGTGGACAAAGGGATTGTGCTAGGGTTTAGCACAGAAATTCCAGAGGCATTAAACCCTACGATTGCTGTATTTCATCAGGATTTGAACTTCTAATCTGCTCATCAATAATTACATGCCTGTACAATTCCGCCACATGTCGAAGAGAATACTCCAGCAAAAGAGCATCATCCTAGCACTAGGCCTTGACTGAATGCATCTGACCGCAATTACGACCCAGGCGAAGATTCACCTGACCACAACTGTACCTGGCGATAAGTCAAAAAAGGTCTAGCGTGGAGTATGCCCTTAAGAGGAGCAAATCATTTTTTATACCTTAAACCTGAAGCAAGGTATTCCTTCCCACATCCCTAAAAAAGAATCTTTCACCCAGGCCATAAGGCTGAATGGTACCCATATGTAGTCGCTAGCAAACAGATCACGAGTTCAAATCCGGTTCGCATCAGATGGATACAATAATGCTAGGGGCCGCGTTTTCGTCAAAGGTTTCTGATCTGAACCTCAGTTCTGAGCAAACTACCGTTTTCCCCCGAACACAACGCACCCTCATTTTGGCTGTATCTGGCCGGAAATATAGCTTGTATACATTCATTTTTAGGGTGCGTTATGTTCGGGGGAAGACGGTAGGTAGGCAATCATGGAAGGGAGGGCCATGTGCTGTAGGGAGGTGCTCCAGCTTCCAGTCATCCATTCTAGTGTGGGTTTTATGGGGTCTGGCAGGGTAGAAGATGAAGTGGTGGCGTGAGGGAGTTGGACATGGGTGTGTTTTGTTTTGGTGGTGGTG